GACCACAACCAGTTGGAAGAGGGAACAGATTGTCCCTTGATGTTACGTACTAGAGTACATTGAGATAGCCTGTCCTGCTTTGGTCTTCCTAATAAAAGAGAGGCTTAAGTGACTTCCTTGGAGCGTATCCAGATCTTTCAGGGTTGACACTTTCAGGCAGGTGACAGCAAGCTGAGTGGTGCAGTTGACATGACAGGAGGAAGGGATGGTGTCCAGAGGAACCTCAAGAGGCTTGATGGGGCATTAACCAACCTGATCTAGTGAAAGATGTCCCTGTGCACGGCAGGGGAGTTGGACTAGACTGTCTTTAGAGGTCCCTTCCAACCCAATCCCTCCTATGATTCTATGATTTTATGCTTCTATGATTCTCTGCCTTCACTTTCTCTGCTTTCACCATGCTCGCTCACCAAGACAGAACAGAAATCGGGGCCATGGGGCTCCTCAGCCAGCTCCCACATATCTCAGGTCTACCTTCCCTGTGCCTACTGTGGGTGCAGTCCTCCCATTGTGGGGAATTGCAGAGTCCTCATTCCCTGCAGACACCTCAGCTTAGCACGTTATCTTTGGGTCAGTCCACTTTGGGAGATTTTTCACTTTGTGGGCTCCAGCCATTGGCCTACCCATGGAAAAACAGTCCTTGGAGATCCCCCAGGCTCTCCAGGCTGCTCCACACTTCACTCCTTAAGGACATCATCTGCGTGTCACATGTGCCCTGGGAATGAAGCTCAGTGACCATACACAGTCTGCATTATCATGGGACACCTATGGATGACTTCTCAATCCATCCCTTGGTCTCCAGTGGCTGCCAATATCAATATGATCTTTTGTCTTCCAAATCCAACCATAAACAACCCTAGAGTGGGTGTTCACCCATTTGGGTGAAATAGCTTGAGTTTGTTGTTAATACCATCCTTGGAAGAAGAGCCCAGCCTTCAGGCACTGCACTGGAGAGATCCCATTTAATTACAGACATGACAGGAGAGCAGCGGCTCTGACACAGTGTTAGGCACACTTATAGAGGCTTCAGGTGAGACAGAGAAAGTTGCTTCCTCAGGAACTTAGATGAATCCAAATATAAACATAGGAACATAATACCACAGATTACTACAAAATAATATCAACAGCAGTACTAATAATAAAAATCCAAACAAAAGGACAAGAGAAAGAAAGAAAGAAAGAAAGAAAGAAAGAAAGAAAGAAAGAAAGAAAGAAAGAAAGAAAGGAAGGAAGGAAGGAAGGAAGGAAGGAAGGAAGGAAGGAAGGAAGGAAGGAAGGAAGGAAGGAAGGAAGGAAGGAAGGAAGGAAGGAAGGAAGGAAGGAAGGAAGGAAGGAAGGAAGGAAGGAAGGAAGGAAGGAAGGAAGGAAGGAAGGAAGGAAGGAAGGAAGGAAGGAAGGAAGGAAGGAAGGAAGGAAGGAAGAAATGAACACAAAGTACAGTCCAGACATAGGATAACCTGAGAATCATTAGCATAAAGTGATGGGAAATTTATCACAACTGAGAAACATTCATGAAATCACTTTCTTTATGGCATCCTTGAGCTCCTTGTTCCTCATGCTGTAGATGAGGGGGTTCACTGCTGGCAGTAGCACTGAGTACAGAACTGTTGTCACCAGGTCCAGGGATGGGGAAGAGATGGAGGGGGGCTTCAGGTAGGCAAACATGGCAGTGCTGAGACACAGGGAGACAACAGCCAGGTGAGGGAGGCATGTGGCAAAGGCTTTGTTCCTTCCCTGCTCAGAGGGGATCCTCAACACGGTCCTGAAGATCTGCACGTAGGACAGAAAGATGAAAACAAAACAAACAGAAGCTAAACAGACACTAACTATGAGAAGCACAACTTCCCTCATGTAGAATTGTGAGCAGGAGAGCTTAAGGATCTGGGGAATTTCACAGAAGAATTGGTCCACAGCATTACCTTTGCAGAGAGGTAGTGAAAATGTATTTACTGTGTGCAGGGCAGCATTGAGAAAGCCACTGCCCCAGGCAGCTGCTGCCATCTGGGCACAAGCTCTGTTGCCCAGGATAGTCCTGTAGTGTAGGGGCTTGCAGATGGCAATGTAGCGGTCATATGCCATGACAGTGAGAAGACACAATTCTGCTACAATCAAAAAGAGAAAGAGAAAGACCTGGGCAGCACATTCTGCATAGGGGATGGCCCTGGTGTCCCAAAGGGAGTTGGACATGGATCTGGGCATAGTAACAGAGATGGAGCCCATGTCAAGGAGGGCGAGGTTGAGGAGGAAGAAGTACATGGGGGTGTGGAGGTGATGGTCGCAGGCTACAGCTGTGATGACGAGGCCATTGCCAAGGAGAGCAGCCAGGTAGATGCCGAGGAAGAGCCCAAAGTGCAGGAGCTGCAGCTCTCGTGTGTCTGCAAATGCCAGGAGGAGGAACTCAGTGATGGAGCTGCCATTGGACATTTGCTGCCTCTGGATGTGGGGATCTGTCCAGAGAGAAAAAGGCAGTGAGAGGTTAGGAGAGTAATCGGTTTCCTACAGCAGGTTGCCCAGGCAGGTGTCCAGGCAGCCCTTGAATACCTCCAGAGAAGGAGACTCCACAACAACCCTGGGCAGCCTCTTCCAGTGCTCTGTCACCCTCACCAAGAAGAAGTTCTTTCACATGTTGGTGGGGAACTTCCTGGGCTCCATTTTGTGGTCATTGCCCTTTGTCCTGTCCCCACAAACCACTGAAAAGAGGTTGGCCAAATCCCTCTGTCTCCCACACTTAAGGTATTTGTAAACATTGATAAGATCCCCTGTCAGTCTTCTTTTCTCCAGGCTGAACAGACCCAGTTCTCTCAGCCTTTCATCACAGGGAAGATGCTCCAGGCCCCGTATCATCTTTGTGGCCCTCCGCTGGCCTCTTTCCAGGAGATCCCTGTCTTTTTTGTACTGAAAACCCCTCAGAAATGCCATTCTCTAAAGCCTCTTCTACTCCACACAGGGGAAAGAGGGACAGTCATCATTACATAAGCTATCAGCCACTGGATGCGCCAACTTTAGAAGACCCCTTGTGCAACCCCATCTGCATTGCCCTGCTGCCAGAGACTCACTCACGGTGTAACAAGACTGCAGCTTTGTCCTGCCACACGCTGTCCTCTGTTGTTGCACTCTTCACAGACTTTAACTTCTCTCCTATGCTCTCCCCTTGTAACCAGCACCTCATAAGCACTGCTGTGCTGTGCAGAGGAGCTGCTCCTGGGCAGAGCTGTCTGTCTGCAGTGCTGCTGGCTTGCCAGGAGCTCCCTCCAGCCCAGGAGCCCAGAGCAGCCCAGCAGCAGAGGACCTGACCATGGCATCACTTGCTTTGTCCCATGGGGCTCCCTGGAGATGTCTCCAAAGCCTCAGGGCTGATAGCTCCTAAAAGGCAGCAGGGTCTCTCCTGGGGTGTGTAGTCTGAAGCAGACTGAAGTAATTCCTGACCTTTCCTCTCTGAACATGGGAGAAACTGATATTAGGAGTGTGCTTTGTTCTCAGATTGTGGCTGTTTAACAGGAGGTATGAGTAATTCCCTCCCTTAACCCCTGTTCCATACCTGTTGCCTGGCAGAACACCTTGGCCATTACAGTCAGGGATCATTTCACCTCTCTGAACTTCCTTCACAATTTCTTTAAGCAACTAAAAAAGAAGCATCTAGCTCATTGGTGTCCTACCAGGAGACAGGGCACCATAATGCCCTAGAATTTCCCATGGAGAAAGGGGAATGGGACAGTCAGACATCATTGACTGAGTTTTTCATACTGTGAACACGAAACTTTCTCTACCCTTAGACAAACCTCTTCCTCCTCTCCCACATGACCAGCACGGTGACTCATTAACGTAGGTTCCGTCTCTATTTGTATGCATACTGGGGTCCTTGGGTGGTCTTTTGCTGAAGGCCAGAAGTCTTCCTGCTGCTTGCCTTCTGGCCTTTCCTGTCTGACAGACTTCAGCAGTCAAGACAGTTCTTGCTGGTTCCATTATCTATGCATACAGTCTTTTATTCCCTTAATCTTTGGGTCGTTAACATACAATAGTGTTAGCTAAGACCTAGGAATCACCAAACTTTATCTTGTTCCCTGTCTTAAGTACCCCCTTTTCTTTATCCTAAGCAAATTCTTTTGCTTAGAAAACTCCTTGATTCAAAGTTTTCATAAAATTATTACCAGTTTCTACTTGGTGCTTGTTTCAGTTACACTTACAGGTTTCATAATCATCTAGCCCTTTCATACAGCAACAAAATGCACACTGTACCAATACACAGGTTAAGAATGCTAGTAAAAGCAAGAACACTATTCCTATAAGCAATTGCTTAAGCCAAAAAAAGTTAGGTAGCCAAGAGGTCAGTTTGTTCCATAATTCTTGAATCCATGAGGTGTCATCTTGAACTACCTTGTATAAGATCTTGGTCTTTTCCCAAATATTTTTGAGATCAGTCTCAATTCCTCCTGCCTCATTTACATACATACAGCAACAATTTTTCTCGTGTCTTTTGTCAGTACACCCACACACAAAACAAGAAACCACTCCCATGTATCTGTAAATATGGGGGTTTAAAAAGGTATTGGGGATAGGTTGTTCTCAATCTAAGGCCGCTTTCTGTCTGCCAGGTGTTAAACTCCTCCTAAATAAATTCGCTCTCCCCCCTTCTTAGCAAATTCCCAGGGCTCAAGCCTGAACCACCGAAGAAGTGACTTTCTCCATTCTACCACTTTGATAATCAACTTGCAGGCCCTTCCTGTACTGTAAAACATATCGTTTGTCCACAGCTGCAGTGAGCAGCTGAGAGTGGAGGCTCCTCTGAGCAAAATACTCGGGGTGCACCTAGGGGTGTCTGCTCCACAGTCGATCCTGCAGCCAAGCAGAGCATCTCCTGCCTGGCTCACTGTGCGGAAAAGACTCCACGATCAGTAAGACTGTAAAGCAGGTGTGTTTATTCAGCACTGGGGCTCATCCCACCAGTGAAAAAAACATTAAGCCTGAACGGCAAGGGGAACATAGGAGAGGAATATAATAATAATAATAAAAATGTTGCTGCTTTGTCACAGAGCTTGATGTAAGGATGAAGTAAGGGCCTATATGTCAGGGGACATTTCCAACAGCTGCCTGTGTGGGGATGCATTTATTTTTTATCACAGCACAGCTCCACCAGAGAAGCGCCAGGTGCCAAGCTCCCCAGCTGCCTCCTTTAGACCTTCCAGGCACACACTGCGCTTCGGACTCGGGGTCTGGGAAAGCCCCCCTGAACCAGGAGCAGCAGAAAGGCCACGAAAGGCAGCGCTCTCCCTCCTCGCACCACCGACACCCCGCTGCCCTCAGCGAGCCGAGCCCGGCCCCGCGCCGCCCCCTGCCCGCGGCCAAGCCTCAGCCGGGCGCCGCCGCCTCCATGGGGGCTGCCTGAGGGCGGCGCACGCGCACTGGCGGCCCGCGGGCGGCTTCTGGAGGCTTCTGAGGGTGGCGGGCAGCGCGCTGAGGTGAGGGCAGCGCTCGGGCTTCGTGGCTGTGGGGACGGTGGCAGTGGCTCTGCCAGCTGGAGGGCACTGCCGTGACTTCTGTCTCCTGAAATATTTCGTTAGCTGCTCGCCTGTGGTGTGAATTCTTCGAAGCGGTAGGCTAAGCGCTGCCGTGGTGAGCGGCGTTGTGATGTGCGAGGCTGTGGTGAAATGGCGTGCAAGAGATCTGTTCTGTTCCAGTACAAGTGTGCTGTGAAAAACGAGTAAAAATTTCTGTCGTACTAAAATGCATGTCAAAGGTTGGGGTTCATGTCTTTATGTTTTGTTTTGTTTTTTAATGATGTAAGCTTTTGGGGTTTTGCTGACCGCTTGGTCAGGTAGCTAGATTGCAGCAGCCACAGTCTTCAAGATACTCTGAAGACTGCATGTTGTTAATTGCAGTGCTAAAGAAACTTACAAGTTTAGAAGTCATTTATTGAACTAATTGTGTGAATGTGAAAGATGCGTTATGCCTATTAACATTCTTTATGCTGAGTATCTATTCGTATAATGTAAGAGGCCTTGCTAAAGGTTTTAAGATTCATGTTTACTACTCAGATGCTCATGAAAATACCCTATCACTTCAGCAGGAGATAATACTACTTTTTAATCTACTGTTTGCACCAGATTGAAGATCCGAATTGCTTTTGAGTTACTATGGAAGCATGTGGGCCTTACATAGTTGATGAAATAGAGTATAAAAACCAGAATGCAGAAATAAATCGGTTCTATGATAAATCTTGTGAAAATGCGGATGAAGCAAAGCCAGTAACATTAGAAGAAGGCCAGGTAAAGACATTGCTATGTTGTGTACAATAAAATAAATAATTTGGTATTTGCATTGGTTTAGGGGGTGAATTATCGAAGATGTATGTGTGGTTTTTTTGTTTGTTTGTTTGTTTGTTTGTTTTTTGATTACTGCTTTGTAGTAGAAAAGGACGTTACATGGTTTGTGTCATCTTATGTGTAAGCTTTATCGCTAAGGAAGCTGCAGTACTTGTATAAAGTAAATCGGGGCTGCATCGTAAACACTGTTTGCTTGCTTCTAAGAAAACTGACAGTGATGTTTGTTCCGTTTACAAGAGCCTGTTGTCTTGTTCTTTTCTTTTTAGATTTGTGTGGTTTTCAGTGAAGAACTGAAATGCTGGTGTAGAGCAGTTATTAAGTCAATCATGTACTGTGCAGGTCATTATCAAACAGAATGCTTTCTGGGGGATTATGCCAAATACTACTTTGTTTTAACAAAAGTGTAAGAGGTTTTTTGGTTTTTTTTGGGGGGGGGGGAGTGTCACCGAAATGTATTTTGTTGGCTATCAGTATTTGTTTAGTTTAATAGTCACAAGGCTTTGGTTTCATTGAAGTGTGGTTCCACAAGAAACTGCTATCCATATGATGGGCCCTTGTCAGTGTGGATGCAAACCAGTCTTTGTTTGGTTAATTTTTTAAAGATGTTTTCTATTCTATTTTTCTTTTCCTTAAAGACTTGGAACTGGAATAGTGTCAGTTTAATATGATTGAGATTTATGGTTATCAGTTAATATTAATGAGACATACCTTATTAAGGGATAAATAAATAAAACCACTATGAAACCAATTATTTCTAAAATATTAAAATGTGTCTTAAAAAATCTCTTCCAGCTTTCAGCCATGTTTAAGGTTCACTTCTTTAACACAATATTCAACTTATCGTACAAGAATCTTTACCAATGTTTTTGTAGTATTCAACAAAATTAAGAAAGCTTATTTTAAATATTTCAGAATAAGTATTTTTAAATCTTAAAATAAATAACATTTTTAAATTGAATGTGCCTGTATCAGAGAGCAATTTGACAATGCCATTAGTTTAAAATACCTTCTAATAGAATTAAACACGTGATATACTGCTTTTCATTATGAAATAACTTCGAACAAAAATGATAAATATATGGATCTTAAAAGCTTGGTATAGGTGGTGTTTTGCTGGTTATTAAATGTCTCCCATCAAACCATTTATAAGGGGTAATTACGTATAGATCAAGGCTTTAGTGATAGCTATACAAAGATTTATTTATTTTTTTAGGGAAATGAGTACAGATGCATGTTATTAATTTCCTTCTTACTGACTTTAGTCATACCTGGTTTCTCACTCAGAGATAAGAATTGCCAAATGGCATATGCAGCACCAGGTGGTGTATATATAGTTTACGAGGTGTAAATATCATGAAAAGACTTTAAACTGTACTGCAAACCTTTCTGATGTTTCTCTACTAAATGGGAAGTGCATTCATATTCAGGGCAAATGTGTTTATTAATTGCTCCTTACAGGACCTGTCTTAGATAAATAAATAAATAAAACGGGTTCCAGAGAGTTCACTGTAGGAGCCAAACTTCTAGAAGAAAAGTGTTGTTGCATACAGGATAAAGAAAGCATGTGTTTGAAACACCACTGGAGAAAAAAAGTCTGTTTTGTGAAATTAGATTATCTCTGCTTCGTTTTTAAGTGTTTTGAGTTGCAGTGAAAGCATTTATGCAAATCCCATATAGAGCAAAAAAAATGTAGATTGTATTGCACAAAGTCAGTGACGTTGAGTCTCAACTTTTCTGAAGATACAGCAGAAATAGTGGAAGTAGAGTTTAACAATTGTATTCTAGTCATGAATTTCTTATATTGTGATGAAACTTCACACCTATTTTTTTCTTCAGAGGGTACAGTTTCAATAAGAACTTAGGGGATAAGGTGCGGAAAACGATTTCTTTTTTACAAGAGCAATTCATAAACAACTTGCCTAATGATTTGGGTTTTATTATTCATCTATTTGAATCTTTTGATGTTTATTTAGAAACCAAGAAATTCAGACAAATTTTTGGCAGTTGCCGTTCATCTACAATCCCAGAACTGTGATTCCAGCACATGAGCTTCTCTACTAATCGATTCATGTGCAGTTTATTACAAGTGTTTATCTTATTCCTGACAATCTTGTTTGTTGTCATTACACATTCTGCCTGAAGTTCTGTTAATGTATAAACATTATAGATAACTTTGGTTTTCCCCATTATATCTGTCTCCTTGAAATACTTAGGATTCCTGTTGTACTTTCCGTATCATATTTATGCCAGTTTTGAAGGAGTGGAATAAGGTGTTCCCTGAGATGTAGTGATAAAGAAAAGTGCTTGTGTGTCCTTACTTTGAGTTCTAGGATGTTATTGTCAAAGACCTGCCAGATCATGGGGGAACATGGCATTATAGCAAGTAACCTATCTTGTTTTTTGTTACTAAAGAATATTTATAACTACATGTAGTTAGACATTTAGGTTTGTTTTTTATACTGTCCTTTCAAAGAAGGAATCAGTATTTTACTTAAATACTCTGACAAAACAAATACTAGTTCAATTAGGATGGGAATAGCATACATCTTGAGTGGGCCATCTTTGTGAACTATCAAAAGATCAATGAAGTTCTCTACGTATATCTACTATAGTCTGTTTACAATGCTCTACATTTGATTCCTTTTTTTTTTTTTTATATTTGCAATTGCTGAAGATGGCAAAGAACTAAATTTTCTGTTACAAACCCTAAAGTATTCAAAATGTTTGTGAAGTGCTTGTTCAAAACTGCTCAATACTTTTTAAATGTTTTACTCTACTTCTTGTTAATCTATTTTTTTTTCCTGATTGCCTTATTTTATGTTGGATATAAGCCATCATACTTTGACTAATCAATATCTCGTAATTTTCAGGCAGTTCATTTTATGGATGAACTGAAACATCAAAACTGAAGTTACATTCAAAGTAGTAAGATTGTGCTAATTTTTCTGTTAGAGACAGTTTTTGAGACTTAGTATGAACTGAGATCATTTTTTTTGAATGTGCATCACTTTCCAGATTATTGTTTGAAGTTTTGATTATGTGGGATGACTGGTTGTGTTTATTTTCCTAGGCCAGCCCAAAAATGAGATAATGCTGCTACTTAGTATTTTCAAAGTCTTCTGAAAGGTAAATATGCTATCAAAATCAAAATTGGCCCTTCTGTTTTGAAAAATAAGTTGTCAGAGAAATGTAGTACTGGAATATATATTTGATCATACTTCCTTTTTAATTTTCACAGCATTCTAAAGAGAAGGGAGTTACTCAATTTTTTTTGGTGTGATTTGACTTAGCCAACAATGTGTGTAGACTTGTATCTTTACCATGCTGCATAAATTGTTAAAGGTGACTAGGTTGTTGCCAGCATGGAATAAACTATCGTGAAATAAACTATCTTGGAAGAAACTATCTACTGCTCCAAATAGTTATTTAGTGAAGTAGAAATGCTTGTTTTCCAGTCTGTTGTCATTTCCCATGTGTGGTGTTTCAGGAGCTCATGCAGTCTTTTCCATACCCACCATTCTATTTCGGTGTGAGAGTGCTTGTTGGCGTTGCTAGAAAAGCAGCCCTTTACTGTTCTTGTCTAATCTTATTTATGTGCCTCTACCTGAAAAACAACCTACCTGCTTATTTGCAAGTACAATACAATACACACAGATATTTGAGGAGAAGAGGATGAATTTATAAAAACAGTGAAGAGTCTCCAGGCTGTTAGTTTTCCATACTAATGGAACATGGCACTTTCATGATTCAGAGGTTTTCACACATCCGAGTATAATGCATTATTATGCAAAGTAAAGGTCAATAGGAAGCAATAACAACATGGAACTTGATTTCACAAATAAATATATAAATAATTTCAGTGTATGAATAAGACTGGTTTCTGTGGACAGGTCATTAAAGCTTTTCAGTTCTCAGTCTTCCTTCAAAGACTGAGGGCAACTTCATTTTTCGAGCTGTGTTCTTAATGCCTTGTTAGATTCTTGTTTCATTTAAAAGTTACAACATTTGTATTAGTTTTTCTTCCAAGAAATAAGTTGCATTAATTTAACCATTATTTCTGTTTTTGTATAGCTTGAAAAATAGTGATAATTTGATATGGGGTTAATATTTCTCCTTCTTATTTACTACTACATTTAGCAACTACGCAAATCAAAGCCAAGTTATGTGCTGTAGGAGATAATACATTTGATGTTATTCTTTATGTGACAATAAAAGATTAAAAGGTAAGATACTTCTATATCTAGAAACCTATTTGCATGCTTTATTATGTAAATCATAACTTTGTAATCAGCTTAGGACTGAAAAGCATTATCTGCAAGTGAGTTTTGTCATTTGCCAGGTACAGTAGAAGCTAAATCATTAACTTATTAATGATATTGTTTTATGTTAGTGTTGATGTAACTCTCTGGATGTGTTCCAGGAGGCAGAAATTCCATTTTCTTTCATGTGTACCTTTATTTTGAAGGTATTGGCAGGCAAATGAAGTGCAAGTCTGTAGCATTGCACAAAGATACGTTGTGTAACAAAAAGTACACATTCTCATAGGAACTGCACATTTAGGTTATTTCATGCAAATTTCTTTTTGCCCTTTCAAGATTTTCTTTCATTTTTACAAATTTCTGATGAAGGTAATTTATTTTACGAATTTATCATTTATAGTTTGGCTTGGTTTAGGTCTAATTACAACTGTTACAATTACTGTTACAAGTACAAGAAAAATCACAAATGAGACTCACAGAAAATGAATGTTATGTTCCCAAAGCTGTTTTCCTGCTAACTTGGTCTGGTGAAAGGCTGAGCAGCAGTGGATACCAGAGTCAATTCTACTCACTATAACCTCATTCATCTTTTTCCTCATTGTCCTAATCACATTTATTTCAGTATTTCAGTAATGTGTTAAAATTTGAAGTAACACGTTAAGTTCTTCACTGTTTAAAATTATATATATATATCACACAGAATCACACAGAATTTCTAGGTTGGAAGAGACCTCAAGATCATCGAGTCCATATATATATTTAAAGAGCAGATAACAAAAATTTTAGGGCTATCAATATTTTATGGAACTTGAATTTAAAAAAGTTGGCCCGAACAATGTTATTAAATGCGTAAGAAGTGTGTGAATGCTGATATTAGTGTTAAAACCAGAGCACTTCAACTTTAAAGTGGAATTGTTGGAGATAACTTTAAATGAACTAGAAGTATCCTGGGTGAAGTGTTGTTTTTCTGTTGTTTTTGTTTGGTTTGGTTGATTTTTGCTATTCCTTTTGATTACCTGGAGTTGTAATGCACAGCTGCTTTGGAGGTTGTAACACTGAAATGCGCAGTAAAACTGTTTGTCTTTCAGAATCTGTTACCTGTGTTCAAGCATTATAATATTTTCTTTGCTTAAAACAAATATTGTCTTTGAGGTTTTTCAAGAAATATTTGATGTTATTTAAGTTGAATTACTCTGCATCCTACAATGAGATGTCCCTTTAAAAATATAAATATACAGGAAGCAATTCAAGTGGACAGCTTTGTGAATTATTTACAGCATTTTCACGCCTTTTGTGTTATATTTTGCAACTACTTTATTCAAGTGTCTTTAAATACCAGTTCATACTTGCTTTGGATGGGGCTTTGAGCAACCTGATACAGTGGAAGGTGTCCTTGCCCATGGCAAGCCCATGGGGTTGGAACTAGATGAAATGTAAGGTATGTTCCAAACTAAACCATTCTATAATAAGACTGAGTCCTCAAACCTTCATGGGGAGAAGTAGCTCCACTTGTCAAAATGTCTAACTTCTGCCAATAATTTGCTGTAGTTACCGTCAGACTTAAGCAGCTGTAATGTAGTTATAAAATAATGCACTTGCATCTGCTTGGATCATTTAGCGTTAAAGGCTGTTAACACTGTGGCTGTGGTCATTGCCATAGACAATAACTTTGAAAGTACATATAAAGTCTTATACCTTCTATCCGCTCAAGTCTATCAGCTTAAATGTTACTATTGTTTAAAACTTCAGATATACTCTAAATAAGTATGCAATGTTGATTCTGGTCAATAAGGATTTATTATTATTATTATTATTATTTTTTATGGTATGCATTAATGATGATGTTGTCTCAAAGAACTTTGCTTGCTTTGTGGACACTGAAGAGAATACTGGAAGTCTTGCAAAAGATCAAGAGAACCAGACATCATTAAATGCTGAAAATAAACTAAACAGCAAATCAGTGGCAACTCACTGTAAATAACAATATTGACTTTTTATGTGTTCAGGTAACTTAAAAATTTCTGATTATCTTCTTAGGTCATAGTGTTTCTAGTTCTTTTCAGGAAAAGACGTACCAAAGGTCAAGCACAGATCTAAATGAAAGTACCAAATCTGCAAGTATCATATTGTGTAATAAACTGTCAAAGGTGAATTTGATTAAGCATGTATGGGACAGATAAGAAATGCTGTAGTCATCTAGCTGTTTCTTCTATGTAACAGATCTGGGAGACTGTAGTAATTATTGATAGAGTTAAATTGGAGTGGAATGTTGTTTCTTTTCTTTAAAATGCAGAACATATTAAAAAAAAACAACAAAAAAACAAACAAACAAACAAAAAAACAAACAAAAAAACAGTGCTAATCCTTGAAAAGGTTGTGCCTACTCTTTTGCTCCTTTGCCATGGTTTTATGAAGATTAATAGCTGTCTACAGTGGGACTTTCAGTTTTCTAAATATAAAAGACAGTAAACTTTAACGCTGCCCTGAAAACAAAATGGTCCTTATGCTACAGAATGATTGATGTTTGTTGGAGTTTCTTCTTGTTTGTTGAGTAGTCTAATGCCAAGTTACCTTTATCAGCCACCTGAGTGCTGCAGATCTTTGACCAAGTCATGTCTGTTGATTGCTTGTGATAAAAGATGGTTGTTAGAAAATCCCCAGTTCAGAACTGAGGATCTTTTGAACAGCCCGTTAGGGCTGTTGCTCGAGATATGACTGTGACCTAATGTTAATGTTTTGTTATGTTTTGTGGGCAGCGTTCTTGTCAAGTGCTTGAAAGAAAATTCTGCTTCATAAGAAGTTAGATACTTTTTTGAAGTTTGCTTCATTAAAATTGTTGCCTCAATCAGAAAAACATATAATTTGGTACAGAGAGAAGTCCAAAATACTTGGAAAATCCTACAGTTAAGTAAGAAAACCACTTTTACCTCAGTCCATGGAAGAAATACTTCCTTGAACAGTATTTTAGTGCAAAGAAAAACATAGTTTTCATTTCTTCTTGATAGATTACCAAAATATTTCCAAGTTTGCCTTGCAAGGAAAAGTCAGTTGTTCACACGGACAAGTATGGTGTGTTGTGATAAATATTTGAAATTGTTATGTAATCAGAGATTTAGGTGGTGGTGTATGTTTTGAGTTACTATTCTTGATCACTCAAGAGAAAAAAATGCATATGCACTATTTTGGGCAAGAAAGGAGTTTGAAGCTGTTGATATTTATTCAAAGTACAATAAAAATAGTTCCTTTTCAACTATGGTTTGGTAACAAATATTTGATGGGGAAGATATTTTTCTGCACTCTAAACATGTTAAGTTTCTTTATTACATCAATTGTTAGTGTGATTTAATATTTTCAAATTCAATTAAATATGAATTGATTTGTGCTGTGCTTTGATTTACTATGATGCAGATCAGATAACCCATACTTAATATGCCTGAGTTGTTGGAGTATTTTAAATTCAGTATGTAGCTGATGGAAAGAACCATTGCTTCATTCCTTGAAACTTTTAAGAAATCTTTCTTTCTCCAGTGACATTTGATTTATTTTTTTTTCCCTCTAGATTTGAGAAAGCTACTAATTTTCTGTTAAAAAACTGTTTGGGGTTATATGCAGATACTAAAAAGCAAATACTGACTTCAGTTTTCAAAACTGTTTTCTTTATTTCTGTAGTCGTGTTAGAAGGTTTTGCTCCTCAGCATAGATTATGCATGAAAAATATTTTGAGAGTGAATTGGTTCTTGAGATTTTAGAAATATTGGTGGTATTTATAAATTGTACTTACGTTGTATTAGGTAGGTATTTTCTTGTTTTCTAGTTGTACATTTGTGTTTATTTCTTCATGGTGACCTATGTTCTACATTAAATACTTAAAACTAGGTTATCTTGTCACTTGGTTATCTTTTTACTTGTTAGTGCTGCATCTACTCTACTCTCCCCCACCCCCAGGTCTCAGGGTTAAACTGTGGAGAGGGAAATCATCAGGAAGCCTTACTTATGAAAAGGAGATTAAGAGTTGTTTGATTTATTAGTTACAAGAACCATTAATACTTTCAGAGAATTTCCACAGTTTCATGATCCTCTGCTAATACGGAGGCTATTTTCAGTTTGAAATTCAGAACGTCTGAAGCCTTAACATAATTGTTTCCCCCTGTGTTCTGGTAGATTTTTTTTTTTTGAGTTCTTTGCAAGGGCAAAGACTTAACAAGTTTTAAACTTAATTTTTGCCTTTTATCTGTCAATAGAAGATTAACTTAATTGTATCTAGAGGTTCAAAGTGTTAGCATTTCTGCATTACTGGAAGTATTTTCTATTTTCTGAAGTATTTGGCTGTGGTCTATTCTTTCTTCGATATTGTTATGAGATTCAGATTTACACAGATCATAAACTAACTTGTAATGCTGTCTGCCATATGCTTATGAAATGTGTTGAAGAAGTAATGCATTATGGAAGTGTATTGGGAAAAGATTTTCCTCGATTCTTAAGTCAGTGGATGGGGGGAAGGAAACAGGCATTGCAAATGTGACCTAATACTTCACATGCTTAAGTATTTTGGTTCCCTTACATTTGTGTTTAAACTGTGTGTTCAGTTTTAACAGACGACTGTATGCAGTTTTGGGGAAATACAGATGCATTTTGCGTGATACATTTCCGTTTTCCTTCTCCAAGAATCTTCGGTCAATGTCTATACAACATGTCTAACAACTTCCATGATGTGATAGAGGTTTGAATAAATCTTCAACAAATTAATGTTAACATTTGATAATTGTTTGGTGGATAAATAAAAGCTTAGAAATGCATACGTACTTTTTAGGAATCATCAGTAGATCAGGAACATACAAAGGCAAGGTCGTTCATACTGCTAACAGAAAACAACACATGTCATGCTCTTGGGATCCTGCGCTATTAAAAGTGTGCTGAAACTGAAATTCCCCCGGAACTGCATGGTTTTACAGCCAGGGTGCTAGAAGCTGAAGAAGAAAAGAAATGATTTCATTGATAATGAAATTGAATGGATCCCGAAGGTAATATTCATCATCTTTTTTTCATAGTATTTCCCGTAGGTTCTTTAATTTGTGTGTTTGTTTTCTACAGGAAAACAGTTATGAACTGCAAACTTAGTTATCAAATTTAATTGCTTTTTAGTCTTATCAATAAATATCTGTTAGTGGTCCAGATTCTAAGAAGTTAACTTTTAGCTTTTATTTGCTTGCAAAATAATAAAGTGAAATTTATGGGATCTTCTCCTATGTGATTTAAATGCCTTCTTCCAGAACAAGTTATTGCTACTTTTAAGTCTGTGGGGAGTAACAGGAGGGCAGCCTCTGTAAATTGACCTGGGCTTGGGTAGTCTTCTATTAATAAGTTCCTTCCTAAAGACTTAACAGTACTTTGATCCATGGTAAAATTACAGTATTTCATTAGTTAAATCGTTTCGATGTATTGAATACCCTTATTGTTAAGCTCAGATGATGTTTCACTACAATTCAAATAAATGCAAAGTTACCTTTGGTATACATCTCAAACATGGTGTTTTGTTTTTCCTAGGTAACCCATTATATTCATCACAAAATTAAAGGAAAACTACCTGAAGCAAAAATAGTACTTACCCTAGGAAATACAGTTTGGATTGACCCAATGGTAGTTTTAGTGTTGTTGAGTTAAAAAAAGGAGCACAGGCAGAAATATATTCTGATTTTCATCTACGTAGCATTCACGTGTAACTAAGAACTGGAACAGATTGCTCAGTGAAGTTTTATACTCTCCATCCATGGAGATACTTGAAGGTCCATCTTGATGCAGTCCTGGGCTACTGGTACTAGGTGACCCTCCTTGAACAAGGGGGTTGATTGACATGACTCCCCTCTCATAGCTTCATCTGTTCTGCAATTAGCATGAATGTTCGTTTATAGATGGAATATATGTGAGTGATTAAAACTTGAACTGTAAATCTGGGGAGCTGAAAATGCACCAGTAACAGAGTATTGAATTAATTATGTCATCCAGACTATTTATCTTTTTGTAAAATCCAGACTATTTCATGAAGTTAATAACAAAAGTGGTTTTTTGGTTTTTACTATTTATCTTTTTGTAAAGTCATTACATTTATGATATGTACTATTTATCTTTTTGTAATACTATTAGCTTAATAGAATATTTCCAGATAGGAAGTATCTGACATAAGTACCAAATGCATGGTTGCAGTAGTGCGTGCAGTAGTAATCTGATTGCTAGTGAATTATTTCTATGATGGTATGGGGCTATTCTGGAATCTGGTTTGTATAGTATAGATAAGTATAAAATATCTTCCTCAATATCTTATTTTTGGGTGGTGAAGCTCAAATTAAGGAAGCAGAAGACTCTACCCTGCATCAGCATAAATGGTACAAAAACTCAGAGTGATTTTGCTACCATGCTTGCTTTTTAATGTGAACTGCCAAACAGGACAATTATCCTTACCGAGATTATCTGTTTTATGTGTAAATAGGTACAATACAGGTAGAAGTATCCTTTAATTGTTAAATTGACATTGAGCTCCAGAGACCAGTGGTGGTGTTGAGTATCTTCCCTCTTGAGCTAATAAATACTCTCCTCCAAAGGCTGAGGTCACATTGCTTTTGTAGCAAGTGAGGCTGACACTCTGTTTCCTGATATTGCTACTTAGAGACAAAGTATTATGGCTTGGATACACATACAAGTGCTGAAACATACAAGTGGGCAACCTAAGGGGAGAATTCTAGTTGTATGTAGGAAAGTTTATTTTCCGTTTGGGCTAACCCCAGTTAATCTTTCTCTATTCTAGCTTTTATCCAGAAATAAAGTGGTTTTAAAATGAAGTGACTGTTACGGTGATGGTAAAAATAGCAGGTATTGCTGACTATAAATGTGACTTTTCTAAAGAGAAGGTAATTTTCAGGTAAGTTTATGAAACTTAAGTTTAATAAACCTAAAATGTGGCTGTTAGTTTGTATTTATTTATTTTTAAACTTTTTTATAATTTAGTGCTTGTTCAGGAGACAAACTTTATTTGGCTGACATGGAGCTACATCAGTACGTACTTACAGAAAAGTCATCATGTGTGATTAAGGATAAAGAGGCTGCTATTAGCCTCACAAAAGAGAAAAAAGGAGCATGGTGCAAGTTACTAAAGAAAAAGGTGAAGAGAAAATTGATTTGAGAATTACTGAATATTTCAAACATACTAGCTGTGCTTTGGTACAGATATTTCAGACTGTTTTTTGTTAACAGAATCCTCATGTGTCTTTTGATTTCGAACACTGGGAAGATTTTGAAGGGTCCTTTTCCAGTTGGTAAGGATTGAATAAGTCAGTGTTCATTATGTATGAAATGTTTATCGGCAGTAGCCAAAGATCTGGTTGAGTCTTCAGACAACAGCAGTGTAGAAAGTGATGAGTAATGTGGAGATAAATCTTTATTGTTTGTTAAGGATAATGTTGCAAAATAATGTCTCTCGCATGATCATTCCCCATAAAATTGCTGAAACTGAACGTATAGGTTGCAGAACTGTGTTTATTTTTTGGAGGAAAATAGTAAGTAAAGTCCTTCTTGTGTTCTAAGTATCTGAAAATAATACTCTCGAGAAGAACTTTATGTATATTGTCCTGTGCTTTCGCTTCAAAATTGTTGGCTTTAGTGATGACGTGCATAGATGTACTTTTAATTTAAGTAATTAAAGAGCTTTACTTACCTTAGTTTGCTGTGTTAGCAATAGTTAATAATTTCTGCAATTTCACAAACTCTGATGGTCTGTCAATTATTTCTACATTATCCTTCATACGTATACGGAATCAGTTTTGTAGCAATTGCCTGTTTCAGTTCTGCACGAATAAATGATGCCTGAACTCAGATGGCAATCTGTACCTGACTGGAAATTCATGAACTTGGCAAGAAATACTGTACTGTGCAGCTAACGAATAGCAAACCGCTGCATAGTATTAGCAGAATGAGCATTGTGGTAGAAAATTCAGTGTTTTCAGTTTGACATTTTCATGTGTTATGAATTCTTTTCATTACTCAATTTCCTCTCACCTAGCTAAAACTTTTACGCTAATGAAGGACAAAATCTTGTCTGCCTAGCTCAAAGGCTTCGAGCTTTCATGTAATTTTTCAGTAAATAATTTTACACTGTTATATTTGTACACACCAGAATATCTCACAGTGAAATAATAATGCAATAGCTATAAGCTGGTACCAATCTGTTTGCATCTGTAGATCTTTAAAACATGTTAGTCTCTCCAATGGAACTATATGATGACTTAGAATAGAGATTTAGCTTTACGGATTTATTTTAAGAAGCCTAAAATTTTGTTGAAAATAGGAGACTGTCACATGACCTACAAAAAAATATGGTGGAGCAGCATTTTTCCTTCTTCACGCATTGTGTCCTTCTGACTTGTCTGATACATAAATATAGTGTAAAATTATTTTCTACCAGTGGAAAAATCTACAATCTAATGGACATAGACAGTTATCTCTTAACGTTTTGAAAAAGCAAGGCAACCCTGTATAAGGTAAAAACAGAAGCTGTCTTTAGCCCTGTGTTTGTAGCAGGTGGCAAGAGCAGTTTTTTTAAGAACACTATAAAAAATGTTTCAGTAAACTCCAAGTATGTTCTCTTGGCCTCTAGCTATTTTTGATGAGAGTCTTCATGAGGAAGAGGTTCTCTGTGGACTTTTTGCTTTGATTTGTTGCTTTATGAACCTCTGTCAACTTCTAACTCCTGTGTTAAGGAACTCAGTGGTATAACATCTTTTGTGAAGAAAGTTTTGTTCTGTGTTTTGAAGCCATCCGTGCTCTGTCTGCTTGATGTCCTGCACCAAGATGTAGTTTGCTTTTCCCAGTTTATTGACACTTAAGACTCAGTCACCATTTTCATCTCTACCCCCAGTCAGGTATGTTTTTCAACCTTCAAAATAGTAGTAGGTGGAGTTGCTTAATATTCCTGTGTTATGTATTTGGAATGGATGTATTAAGTTATTCAGAGGACTTGTGCTTTCAGTATTCCAATCTTTCTCAATATAATCACTTTAAAATATTGACACATGACTTGAGAAAACTACTTTCTTTATCCATTGGCTTTGAGGGAACATAGTAACTATTGTAAGTTACCCAGAACCAGTTTCTTGGCCAGGGAAATTAAAAGCTGCTTAAATCTGTGTATGAATTTGGCTTTTTTTTTTTAATTATTTTCATTAGGTACCAAATGGAACATTTATAGGATGATGTTACTTCTGTAAAGTCACATTCGTGCTGAGGATAATTTCTGTTGCAATTGCTTGGTGTTCTGTACCTTAGATGGCAGTGGAGAAAACACATACCTGAGAAATTAAGCCTTTACTTATGACCTTGCTTTAAAAAAAGAATCACTCTCTTCTTTTCAGGCAGGTATGCTGTCCATGTTTACTTGATTCCCATTTCCTTAGTCTTCCAATTCTTTGATAGCTAGTGTTTGGTCTGAGCAACTGAGGATTAGAGTTAGTATGTGTTTCTGCAATGTGTCTTCAGTTTTGTGTCACTTGTGGGTGATGCTGTGAATGATAGCTATTCTGTTCTTTCAGCAGAAACAACAAAAGAGGCATTCTGGCAGTGCTGCAGGTGAGTACCATTGTCATAATTAAAGTGCTCCTCTTGTTTAAGTAACATTAATGAAGAAAATAAAATAACCTTAACGTATTAGCAAGCAATGAAAAAGGCTCTGCTGTACCCTATAGTCTTGCTCAGAAATCTTTTATTCTCATATTTAACAAACGTCAAGTACTAAGTAGTATTGCAAAAATAACACATGCCAGCATGAACATAGCAATTTAGAAAGTATAAATGCACACCAACTAAATGGAATTTCCTTCAAACAATATAGCAAGTAAAAACACTCTAGTACATATAAAATATTTTACTCAGTAGTTTCCTCTGCTGGAACAACTTCCAAAAGCATCTGAAGGTGCATAGTGATGGGCTCTGAGAAGAAAATACATTGTTAGAAGCTTGTTCTGAGAACAGTATTCAGATTAATACTATTTTTCTGAGTTAGAGAAATGTCCTTCTAAGCAGTTGTTTCTTTTCTATATTTGTATCTCAAACTTAAAAACAAATAAATAGGAAGTGGGAAATAAAAACAATCTTAAGATCCAGGCCAGTATATTTTGAGATTTCTAATCTTGCTCTTCATAGAGTATACTGCTTCTAATTGCATGATTAGATTATACATAATAATTCAGGAGGAGGGGGAGGCAGACATAATGGATTTTCTTAATGTCCTTAGAACTACTAATTCTGTCCTCTGCAGCTGGTTCTGCTTTCCACTGTGGAAATACTTGCATATCAGTTTGTCCTTGAGAGATGAATGAAGAGCTCCTTCTGAGACTATGCAAGATCACTTTATGCACACAGTGAGCTTTGCTAATGTTATCTGTCTGGAAAATTGCCTCCCTCCCTGTTTCCCCCAGCATATGACTTAAATTGCAATGGACCATATAACGAACTTTGTTGGGGTAGTTGCTTTAAGGTTTAGAGGTGTTCTATTGAATTTGGAAACGGTCTGTAGTATACTTACTTGATATTTTCTGGGGCCAGCTGAATTTAAAATGAACAAAAAGTACATAAAATATGAGTCCACTAAGTATAAATAAAACACAGTACAAATATGCCAGTTCAGGTGCACTGATGATTGGTATCAGCACCAGTAAAATGGAGACTAATGTCACTATGACTGGAATGACAATGGGTATCTGCAAGATAAAGATAAATAAAAAATAAATAAAAACACAATTACTTAGCTAATTGTTTTACTGTTCTTACAGAAGTTACATATGTGAAACATAGCTTAATCGTCTTAGGATGTTTTTACTTTTAAAATTTCTGGAATTAGATGGGACAATTGAAAAAGTAGGAGGAAATAGGTGGGAAAAAGTTTTTTCTGTTGAATTGTTAATAAAGGTCTCTGTCTTTATTGCAAATAGCAATGTAGTAATTCATATACAGCTTAATGAATTGGAGACCTGACTCAGTACAGTGAAGTTTGGGTCTATTTCCAGGCACTCTTTCAGTGGTAGTCTGCTGACTGTAGTTCCCCATCCCTGAAAATCTGCCACAGCTTCTGCCCATCATCTATGTGAGTAAAACATTGCCTGGGCTTTTCTCAGTCTTTGAGCTTTGTCATAGTGTAAAACTTGAACAACAACAACAACAACAAAAAGACACAAATAAATGGCTAGGTTTCAGGTAAAGTGGGTGGTGAGAAACCTCTACCTCAGGATGTTCAAATATTCAGAGTTTCAAGATGAGTTCATGTTTTAGTATTTACGGAAGTGGAGGAGAAGTCACACTGAATGTTGAACTTACCCTAATTGGTCTGTTGACTTCCTTTCTTGTAAACCTCATAACAATGAGTGCAAACACAGTTAAGCCGTAAAATATCCAGACTGCAAAACTAAAGTAGTTTATAAGTGTGTTAATGTCACCAGGGATAATATAAATAATAGCAATGGCACCCTAAAAATGAAAACAAAAATTAGTATCAGTGAAGTTTAACCTTACTTTATAAGAGCTTATGTGTAGGTATGCGTGTATGTTTAGGGTATTCAGAACATAATTGGAGCGTGCTTTTGCTTAAACATCTGGGTGCAAGTGTATTGCAGTACATTTAAAGATAGTATCTGTAGCCTGTCAATATGTTTGCTTTTCTGTGCAGTATGAATTCTGTTTTAAGTTAAAACACGTAATCTTGTATATGCTAATCCATTTTGTTGCTGACTGACTATCTAGAAGGAAGAGATAATATATTTATAATAATAATAATTATAATGAATATATATAATATTAATTATAATAATATATTATGTTTTTGGTTGTTGACTCTGGGAGTGGACAGAGCAAGAATTTTGACTCTATCTGGTATTACATTGATGTAAAAAGGTAAAATACAAAAAGAAATACAGCCTAGTTTTATTTTAAAATGTATTTATTAAATGTGTAAATTTTTTTTTTAAATGAAAATATGTAAATGCATCCTTACAGGAGGACATAGAGTAGGAAATATTTCATAGGCTTCTTGTGAGATAAAGGATTTACCTAACACTAATAATTTATCTTCTTATTTCTTGGTTTTCATGCTATGGATTCTTAAAATTTTGATTTGAATTTTGATCTTCTGGAATGAAACTTTTCAAATTAAGTAGTTTTCATTATATGGTCTTTGTTCCTAATACATGTTCAGGATATATGTTTATATACAGATTGTAATCTCACAAAGATGCAAAGACATGTCAAAGCTGCTGGTAAGAAATTTTGAAAGCATGTATTAAGATTTTTTTGTAGGTAATTTCTCTGTACTTAGAATGTATACTTACATAAAACATGATAGCAGGTGCTGGTGTTAAACGCTTAACACTAATGTAAGACAGCACCTTTAGCATGTGCCCTTCACGACCTGCTACATAAACAAGTCTGACAAAACAAAAACAAGGCAAACTAGTTAGTGTGGCACCTAAAGTTCAAGTGGTGTTATATTTTAACACTGCCCTTCCCCTTCCCTCCCCCCCCCCCCCCCCCCCCCCAAAAAAAAAAAAAGTTTTCAAATTTGTTTTATTATGTGTCAACATCTGACTAGCGCTTTCTTTAGAGTATACCGGTATTTCCTTTAGCATACAATGGGATTTAAAGAATATTGCACTAAAATGAAATAATGGAAATAACCAATGTTAATGCACAAAAATTGAAACTAATTCTGTTTTCAGAATCGCTAGTTTGTACATATCGTTTAATTAAAATTGTTTTGGAAAAAGCTGCTATCTTTTAATTAAAAATTTCTTTTTATTTTTTTCCATATTAAATAGCTACCTGTACAACCTTCTGTCAAAAAAAGTCTGTACAGCCCTACCATATTCAGATAGATCTTACTTTTACTATTAAATAGAAGTGTTGAACAATTGATAGAAAGGAATGGCTTTCCCTTCCAGTTCTTATCTTGACTGTTAGTGGTGTAGTTATGTTCTTACTCTTTTTTTTTTTTTTTTTTTTAAAAAAACAACCTTTAAAATTAGCCAGCAAAAAGAAAAGGGGGAAAAAACAATTTCATGCCATGTCTACTTTGAAATGAGATATCTTTTCTGATTTTTCAAACCTGTATAGCCTCTGCTTCTTTTTGCAAAATAAACTATAGCTAGATTTGTAAATACTTGTTAATTTTTACCTTTAGATCATAAGTACCTTGATATCTTTTTGTCTAAATACAAAAACATACATACACATTTTTTCACCCTTAAAAAAATTCACTTTAAGGTACTTAGAATGGGAACTTACCTGCCTGCAGTAAAACATGTCCCATTGGCAGATCCAATTGTAGAAAAGGCCACAAAGAGAGGTACTATCCAAGAGGCTGGGTAAAGAATTCTATCTCCAAATGTCTGGGATATGGAATTAAAATGAATGTTTTTTGTCATTTTAACTGCTATTTGGTATATTTGGAAATGTTGGCACCTCTTTAAAAATACAACAAGTAACGTATCTGATGTATTAGTAAAATATTTGTTGTATATTTTGCTATTCAAGGATACTTGGCCAAAAGAAGACCAGAATTAATTGATGAAACAATCTATAAAGAGTGGAATATTGTCTTGAATGAAACAAAACCACTTAAATTGCTTAAGACACCTGGTTTGTGGATGTCTGCCAAAGAATAGATGTGATTACCACAGAGCACAGTGTGTACACAAGGTGATTCCAGTGTAAGTAGAAAGAATAACAGTAGTAATGAAGCCATGGCAACCTAGGCCTTGTCATGGGTGAGCACGTGAGGGACAAACTTGCCAAGTTCTTTCAATATACTTTGATTTTTTACCTGTGCCATGGTATGTTAATTGTTACTGCAAGGTGGATTGGAACTCATGTAGGTACATGGATCTGCTGTAACTGAATTTCAATTAAAATTGACAGGTAGATTTTGGATTTTCAGTTGAGTAAGTTAAGCATATCAAGTTCTACTTTTGCACAAAATTACCATCAGTGTAGTTGCTTTACCTGGTAGCAGCACACTCACCAGCACAAAGCAGGAAGGCTCCTTACAGATGTATAGACCTCTTTATATGGAGCACCCTGCTTATTTTGCTATTTGCTGTGTCCCTTTTGTGCTGCTCAGTAGCAGTTGTATTTTCTTTTCGTTTAGTCTGATCGCTTTAGAGGTAGCTGATGTGTGCTGTTGACAGATGTTAAGCTTAGTGGTACGCTGAAGAGAAGTGGTTCTTTATCAACATACAACTTAGTATACTGTTTTGCACCTCTTGGTGAAAAGAAAGGCTGAAATGCATCAAAATTCTACATTTTCAAATACCTTTTTATTTTGAGGTTTTTAAGTATTTCTACATATAAAGTACCTCTCCACTGTGTTACAGTGCATTCACGTATGCATGTGTGCATGTCACATGCTGTTTGTTTTCCCCTAGAACTTACATAAGGGGAAATTTTTACAAGCTCTCTTAACAATGGTTTGGGAGACAGATGTCCTCTGGAAAATGTACCAAGTAGAACTGAAGGGACAGATGTGTTTATATAAATTTCTCAAATGTTAAGAATAATCCTTAATGATTTTTTTTCTGTAATAATATGTCATCCAATGAAGTAAAGAGGATAGTTCTCAGTTTAGTTAAGGTAAAAGGAAAAATGAGGAGGTGAATTACAGACCACTTGCTGTTATCTCCATAATGGCAAAAATTGATCTGTTATTTTGCATGTGTTTATTTCTCAGAAATACTGGAATCACTGCAAAGCAGTAGTCAGATACTATTTTTCCTTCCATTCTTTCAGTGCCTATGGAAAACAGTCAACCTCTGAGCTGTGGTGTTTACAAAATGTTACCTGAAGACTGCATTACTTCTGCTTGCTTTTTTTTTTTTTCTTTGGGATCTGATGGAGCAGTTTAAATTAGGCAGTAGTTTAAATTAATTTTGGATTCAGAAATGACAGATAATGGGAAAAAATCAAGGTGAGACTGGCAGTTTAGAAATAAATTGTATCTTAAAACTTAGAGGTTGCTTTTTACATTTTTTTTAACTGCTCAGGATACTTTAATACCCATGGTTTTCTTTAGATGGCTTATTACAAAATAAAGTGGCTTACCACAGCAACTGCCTGGGACTGTAGGAGTTCTGTTGAAGTCATTACGGTGAAATATGCAATGTTTATCAGAACGTAACAAATTGTAACCAAGGGGATTCCAATAATTATAGATAGTGGTAGATTTCTAAGGAATGCAAAAGTAAGACTCCATCAGCATTGCTGTATCACTAGCAATATTACCCTAGTAAACTGTGGACTCTTACTTTCCCCCATATACTCTAGAGGTATGTGTATATTTCTTTACTGTAGAGAAAGATAAATCAGGATTTAAAAAAAAAATAAAAAAATCACAGATTTATGAAACCCAGAATACATACAAATAGCTCTTTTTCTGTTAGTGCTCAAGCTTTCAGTAACCATTCCTTTTAAAGATAAGCTTTTACTTTTCTTTTGGCATTAGTAGTATTACTTTTCTATGTGGTTTTACCTGTAAGGATTTTTAAGTTCTTCTGTGATGTAATTGAGTTGATTCCTGGTAGGAAAAACATTAAAACAATGTTTGTAACAGTCATATGTAATGTGTTATAAGGTTAGGTGTTATTTCTTTTTTCTGTGTGGTGTGCCTTTTTAGTTTTTTGTTTTTTTTTTTTAAAAAAAGTAAAACTGCGGAACAGAAAACTGTGAGCTTCTTATCCAAATGTAAGCCTGAAGTAACTAATTTTTCCTCCTTAAAGTTTTGATGCATCTTACATTTTTAGAAGTACCTTAGATTCTTAGCCCTTGGTTAAAATATCCCCGAGTAAGCAAAAACTAGGTGGACATTTGTTTCAAATTTACAAGATTACTTTTGAGCTTTGAGCTTTGCAATATCTAATATTTTTCAAATAAAGGCACTGGTTGACTCTACCCATTGCAAGGCATCAAAAAGTCTAGGTAAATGTCTGAAATAGCAGATGTTCATGTCTAAGTTGAGAGACTCAAGCTTGGAAAAAGAACCTGGAAGAATAATCCATTTGTCTTACTCATTGTAATAGGACTTGCTTTGCTGTAAGTAAAGTTTTATATTCTTAATTCCTTTAAAAATGTGGATCTATTTGCAAAACTTGACAGTGTGAACATTTAAGAATAGCATTAATGGATCAGAGCTTGATCTTGGATTTGTCCCAACAGAGATTGAGACCAGTTCACATTCCTGTTAGTTTCAGGAACTGATGTATGTAAACGATTTTCAGGATTTCAGCAGAGACATTGGTATTCCTCCAGTAAGTTTATTTTAAGAAAGTAATAGTGGAAAGCAGCATTCATGGTACCAAATATAAATGTTTTATGTAGATCATAAAAGTGAACCTACAGCCTTCCATATTTGTGAGTATTTTCAAATGTATTTTCTTTGGTCTAACACAATGGATAAACCCATGAGGAGGTTTACAATGGGAAGCTTCTCAGGGAGGGAGAATTCAGTGTTTTTACATCAATTCTAAAGCTGAATAAGAAAAAAATATAAAACCCTATGAATTCTAACTTGCTGATACTTATTCTTTTGTACTAGTCAAACGACACTACGTATTTCACAAAACATGGGCTTTGATGGGGGTAACCTGTGCGGACTTTAGGATTTACATTTTTTTTTTTTGCCTAATGGAATTACTTTTGATATCTTCCTCATTGTCACAGTATCTAAACACCTTTCAGCAGCCCTTTCAGGATCCACTATAGAATCGTTCCTAATAAACAGTAACCTGAGGTTTTGTTTTTTTTACCAAGCTAGTGTTCTTTTTCCAGAATTCATTAAGAGATTCTTTATAACAAGTCAGATGTTAACTTTCTTAGATCACATCTTTGAGTTCTACAGGGATAGAGTAAACCAGTTAAAGGCTGTTAAACTATAACTGTTAACACTAGTAAAGATACCTTACCATCCATCATATGCCCAGAGTCCATTATAGAATGCCAGACCAATAGAGCTAACAGAAATTTTACTGTCCTTGAAAGAATCTTTAAAGTTTTCAGTTTTTCCTGCAAATAAAACATAGATTACTGTCAAATGTTGAAATTAATCCCTTTAATTGTCACTAAATGAAGAAATATTCCAATGTCTGTTTAATGTTTTGAAACATTCTGCTGTTGAAGATCAGTTTATACCAATTCTTATAAACATACATACTGTTGAATTTCCTGCCCCCTTCCTCTAAAATATGTAGTACCGTAAGGAGTTCCAATGATGTGGAACTCAAAACTGAATAAAAAGCGCCCTATTGTTGTGCTGTTTTTGTTGGGGAAATTTTTAAATGGTCAACAGAAACTAAAATAATTGCACATTAATGTATATTTAATTACCTTGCGCAAGTAGAACAATTCCACTTACAATAATGATTGTGACAATGATCATTTTAGCAGCCGTGAGAAGATTCTGGAGATAACTTCCCAGCTTCACGCTCAGTGAATTCACTATTGTAATAACCACTAGAAGAAATAAATTCATATTTATCTTGTTAAATTTGTCAGAACTGAAAGAAACATTGCCTTCTAAAACATTTTTCCCATATTCACTGTACTCCTTTTTCCTTTCAGGCTGTTCAAGTATATATAGTTGTTTCTTTGTTTTTACCATAGTATGTTTGGATGACTTAAAATTGTGAGGAAAAAATGTTTCTGAATTAGATGTCTACCATTAACAACAACAAAAGTAATTCTACAGCATTCTGATGAATACAGAAATATCTCTGAACTTCTTTTCTCACTTTTCTGCTACACATAAGCATTCTATGCAGCTGTATTTTTCTTGGTAAAGAAAGGAAACCCAGGCTAGGAGCAAACCATCATTCTGTCCTTTTTCTGCATGGAGTTAGTTATTGTGGGAAAGACTCGCAGTTACCCAAGGTTCTGTTCCTTTCAGTGTAGGGCTGCTTTCTGATGTCCTCTTAAAGATTAATGTGCTGAAGTCCTACTATGCTATGTGTTCACTGATAGGACTGAACAGAAATTGCTAAGCAATTATGGAACTTGTCACTTTACAAGAAAAAAGTCTTACCAATGGCAGCTGCTGCAAGACACTTGATGACAACTGGAGGTGGATCACAACCTGGATAAAAAGGAGCTGATGCATATTCTGCAAAGCTGAGACAAATGATTGCAAAAGAGCTGGGCTTTGTGACGAGTAAGCTTGTCCAAGAAAACAAAAATGCTGGAATTGGGCCAAATGCTTCCATGAGGTAAGGATATTCTCCTCCTGATTTTGTGATCATTGTGCCAAGCTCAGCAAAACAAAGCGCCCCTGAAAACAAGAAATGTGCCTGTTACTGGTTGTTTAGTTTATGCACTTTTCAAACTATGATTAGAACAAAATAGTGCTTTTTTATAGGTAGCAAAATTGCAGAACTGGATATGTAAATATATCATTTTTCCATGTTTGAGTACTGTACATGCTAAATTTTAATTACTTGCAAGCAGTTGTGTAAATGTGGGGAAAAATATACTGAAACTATTAAGTTACGATACAGAATTTACTATTACCTTTGTTTAAGACTTCAGCTGTTGAATTATGAACGTCCTGATTTCTTAAGAAACCAACACTTCCAACAAAGGTCCAAATAGGAACTGTGCTGGCTGACCTACCTTTTAGAAATTTAAGGTGGAAAAACTAAGCTTGCTGCACAACTTTTAAATTAAAATGCCACTGTAATTCAAAGCTGATCTTCAGTAGACACTTCTAGTTTTATTGCTGTAGCTGCTCAAAAAACACTTTTTCTATGATTTGTGGCTGACACTATGCACAAAGAATTCATTTTTGTGTTTTACTATTTGAAATATGTGGGAGGTGCTTAGCATTAATTTTTTGGGTGATAAAATTAGATTTGAGGGATTGAACTAGATGATCTTCCAATCCCTAACATTCTGTGATTCTGTGATTTGTGCAGCTGTAGGAAAAATGTTAGAAATACCAGCCCTGTGCCAGCAAACTTTCATGTGCTATTTTGCCTGTGATTTAAGTAGAAAAGTACTCTATTACAGTTAGTTTTATTTTTGTTTATTTTATCCACTTGCTTTAAAAATGAACTGAAAATGATCGTTACAGTTTTAAAAGCTTAGTCTATTGTTTATGAACAGCACATACTTAGTACACTCATCAGGGTATGACTAGTTTTGGTCTAGGTGTCATTACCTAATTTGTGAAATGAATGGTATGCAGTAAATAAAAATATTTAAACAAAGATCCAAACTTTGTTGATTCTTTGTTTACCTAGTGTTGCAAGAACTCCGCAGGCTGCCCAGATGACTAAACAAGGACCCACAGCTCCAGCATTGGCAAGTACTGATTTTGGAGAAACAAAGATACCTGAGCCAATAATTGTACCAACAATCATACAGATTCCACTGATCAGGCCCACCTTGAAATAAAAGGAGATATTTTGGTAAAGTAACTTCTAATACCTTAATTTATCACTAATTAGTTTTCACCATAAAGTTTCTACTAACTAATAAATGATGAAATTTTGTTTCTAAAATGCATACAAATACTGTGCCATACTCCTCCTGTTTCCAGAAGCCATTTCTCGTATTTTACTTGCTTGCATATTTGCTTTACTATCCTTTGGACTATCCATTTTTTTTTAAGTAGTTGCTCCTCATTGCTTCAGGTATTTGTTAATATTTTGAAATTAGTACAATATTGATAAGTGGTTAAAAGATCATGTTCTGACTTTGTAGTGACTTACATGTTACGTGAATCTACTAAAACTTAGGTATCTCCTGCTAAAAAACAAACAAACAAACAAAAAAAAAACACCGTCATGGGCTGCTTAAATTTTCCTGTTAAGTCATGGCTAATCTGATAACATCAGTATTTTGACAGTATGTGTTCTTGGCACCAAACTGAAACTACAGAGTGTGTCTTTTTCCAGGTTACTTAAACTGAAAGAGAAATCACAATTCTCTCTAAGAGGCTTGTCAGGGACAAAAGTAGTGGCTTTTTTTTTGTTCTTGTAAAAATATCTGTAATTTTCTGGAGAAAAATTATCAGTTGTCTTTCTGTACCACAATCTGTACCACAAGCTGTTTTATAGAAATAAACACATTTTCAGAAGCAGTGAGCCAACAACTCTGTTTAGACTCTGAGAAGTTTATGTGGAGTTTGTAAAGTTTATGAAGTTACACTCTCTTGAGCAATTTTGAAATTACCAAACGTAAGACTTCAATATTATATGTTTTCACTTCTAAATTGTGTTTGTGTCCCAGCAATTTCCTAGTAATTAGCCATTTCCTAAAATATAAATCAGCCACACTATGAAGATAAATCAATGCAAGTTTGGATACAACTTTTCAACTTTTCTGTGATGATGCCTCTACACAGATAAGTCCCGACTATCTCCCTCTGACAGCCCCTCACACATGTATTGGGGGAGGGTAGGTGTTGGTGCTTACCTGCTTTTGTAGGTTTGTAGTTTGGGGTTCCTCACTCTGAATGGATTGTCCATCCTCTTTTCTACTGTCCTGTCCTTTTCTTTTCCTCAAGCTTTCTTCACCCATTTGGCTTATTTTTTGAAATATCTAAAGAAATTAAAAAAAAAAAAAAAAAAAAAAGTCAAGTGTATTTTACTGATGTGTGTTTGAGTTTTGCTGCTCTAAAATAGCATGCTACTGTCAGAAAATACAAAAATGCACACATGCAATACACAGGCAAAGGTCTTCCATCTAACTACCTCCTTGGAGATTAAATGAAGGAGGTGGTGGGTGTACTTTACCTCATCCATCAGACTTCCTGTAGATTTCCTGACTCACCTGGCAGCGGATGTCCTTACACCTTATGCCTCAGGTTACATTTGAGAGAATCTCCTTACTGGAACAAGCTGGGTTTTATAGCTAGTCTCTCCTTTGAATTCCTCTAGGGGTCCGGTCAGATTTAATCTTCCACCCAGAAATTAGCCTGTTGTCTTATCTAGGAGACATTCTTTCTGATCTTTGTTAAATTAAGCCTTGTCCCAGTTCCTTGGAGATGCAAGTATGTTAGACCAAGTGTCATCTCCTGTAATTGTCTAATTAGCAGCTCTTTTCCTCAAAATGGTTACTGTTCTTCTTGTTGACTCAGGATGAACGTCTTTTACTGAACATTATATTCTGTTTAGAATTAGAATGGAAACAGTTTGGATTTCGAAATTCAAATATATATTTGTGATTTTTTTTTTTTTCTTGAGAATTTTGCTCATTTGCCACAGTATTTGAATTAAATACAACCTGAGATAGTGATGGAAACGATTTGTAATAGGTTAGGTCCTGATTCTCAAAAGTTTATTCAGTCTACCTCCTCAGATCTTCCATCTGTAGTTGTTAAAATCTGAATGTTGAAATTTGTTTTGTAGTTAAATAAACAGCAGTTCAGGAATGCTTCATGTGTAGGCAACTTAGTGTCTAATAATCCTTGGCTTTTTTGTAGTATTTTGAATTCACAGAACATCTGTCTTTAGTACTGCTGGTCTTAAGAAACATTTCTGCTATAAACAGATCTGTTCTACATTTTGATTTAAAGATTCAAAAAAAGAAAATCATCATGAATCCTACTTACAATTCAAACTACAATAGAAAATTGCCCGTGTAAGGAATGCAGGGCTTGGGTCACTGAATTCTATTACAGCTTTCAGCCCAACTTCTCTCTTTAAAGTCTTTTATCTAGAATATGTTTTAATCACCATCTGAGAGTAATTCATACTTTCACTTACCTTATTTATTTAGATTTGTTTAGTGTAATTCAGGCTTCAGGGATCTCTGTGTAGCGTGTTTCTTTATTTCTTCCGTTAGATTTACCAGCCAGTTAGAGAGCAAGACATGTCCATGTCTGAAACCAGAATACGCAGAAGCAACAGCAGCTTAAGTACAGAGGTTATAAAAGGTAATCATTAAACCCATTCTCAGCCAAGAAGCTTTGAGATGGGAACCACAGGTAAACCAATAGTCCAATTAGTTTATCTTTAAAAACAAAAAGTCTTTGTTCTATTTGTAAGAAAGTTTGTCCAGTACCTAAGTATTTTATTATGTAGTGAGAGTGAACCATAATTGGAGCGTATTTTGATTTTATGTCAAGCTATTTCTAATTTAGAATCACTGTGGAAAGGTAACCTTGAAATAAGGTGCATGAAAGACATCTGTCCAGATGTTAACTGCATCCTATAAATAGTTGATGTTTTTTATCTTAAGGAGGTAGAGAAGTGTGAGCAGAAATCTTCACTTTGTTTTTCATTAACCTGAAAGCAGTTGAGTGGGCAGCTTGTGTTCCCTTCACATGCAGTTCCAATTATTTTTTCATTTTTGTAAATGTTTAAAAATCTTGCTTTACTGGAAAAATGACATTCTTTACTTCTATACAGTTGTATATCCAGGAAAAAGCTGTCATCTTGAGTGCTGAGTGCTTTAATTCCTGCTAGCCATCCCTGAACTGTTTGCAAAATCTTAATTTAAAATCTTAATTATGCTTCACTTCATTATTTTTGGTAACGCAACCAGTAAGTCTTAATCAACCTGATGAAATCAAACTTCGTCTGACTTTAGAAAAAAAAAAAGTAAACATCTTCTGTTAACAACTAAAAAGTGTATTAGTATTAGTCACGTTCAGATGTGTTAAGTTTTTTATCTTGTTAAGGTAATGCCTCAGGAATGATAGTACGGGATTGGAAATAAGCCCATATTGTTAGACTTATGTGTCAACAAAACAGGTGAAGACTTGATCTTGTCTGTATATTACTGCTTCATTTAACGCAGAGACCAATAATAACAAATGGCATGCAAAAAGCAAGCTACCAGTCTGTCCCATTTATATCCTGGCATGATGTCATTGTCTTTTTCTTTTCTTTCTGATCTTCATTTTAAGCACGCAGGCTTGATCAGTAGGAACTCCTACTGATTTCAAATGTTAATGTAAATCTGTGACTAAAAATGAACTCTTCAACCAGTGTAAGACTGTTTTACATTTTCTTATTTGCCATGTTTTGTTCTGGTTAAGTCAACCTGCTGTATCAGTCTTTCTGCAAGACTGAGATTGCAAAGTGATGTCAGTACTGAAACTAAAACCGAAGCTGCATTTTTACAGCTCTGTCTTATTTTTTTCCTCATTTTTTTTTTCTATAATTCTTGCAGAAATTAGGGTTAAGCTTCAAGAGAAGCTCTTCCATTTCAACAAACTTGTTCAAAAACTATCATCTGAATGACAGTCAGATAATATTTTTTTTCCAACAGAAAAAGAGATTATTAAAATAGTCTGAATTCAAGCATATTAAAAGCCAGATAGCAGGAATTTTCACCTTCTGCATCTCTTACTAGGGCTTCAAAAATATTTTTCATGGTAGGTGTGATATAGGACTAAGTAAATTGATGTTCCTATATCTATCAATTGCAGATGCCTAGTTTGGTATCAAATATTACGTAATGTAATTCTGTGTTCTCTGGACTTGATTATTTTGAAATTAAGGTACATAATCTTGCCACTCCTATGTTTTTCCAGAAGTGCTATGAAGACTACTGAAATAGCTAATGTAAAAAGAAAAAACACTTTTTTGTGGTTGGGGAGCAAGATCATATATGTTGCTATTTTTTCCACTCAAAGTGAAGTATATACCTTTCACATCAACTGCAGCCTGGAATTTCCAGAGCAACAAAAAAGGAAATGTACAAATCCTTAGGTAGTTTTGATGGAAAGGTAATGGAATATGTCACTTTTAATTCCATGTTAAACAAGGTTTTACTTAAGGATATTTTTTCTTTTAGAATTTTAACTAAGCAGCCAATTCCTTGAGTCAGCCTAGAATGTGTATTTGCAAAGTTTTCGATTGTTGAGTAGAGTTCTTAAATTTCTGCAGAAACTCGACCTTAATTAACCTTTGTTTACTTATAAAAATCAAGATGTTTTGTTTTAGGGATTAATTCTGGGATGCTATAGGCTTCTTTAAGGACTTGGAATTTTACCAGCAATCCTTCTTTTCCTGAGCCACTCAAGGGAAAAAAAAAAAAAAAAAAAAAAAAAAAAAAAAAACAGACATGGAGTTCAAGGATTTTCTTGGTGTTTTTGTTTTTGTTTTTTTTTTTTCTTCGTGGACAAGAGAAATTACATTTTACAGCCATGGGAGAAGATTCCTTCCTTCTCAAATACATATGTAGATGAAGAGATCAAGGAGTTCAAATTCCAAGGGGCTGCAGAAGCAAATACGCTGTAGGCCTGTCCTGTCTAAACAGTGTAGTTTGAACCTTTTCAAATAGTGTTTACCAATTATATCATAAAAAGTAATTTTCAACTTTAATTCAGGAAATAACAAGAACATGGTGTATAAATATAGCTTTTATTATCATCTGTCACTAATAATAAAGGTTAATGTTTGTTAGGGTTGGTATTTATTGCTTGCAGTAATGCACGTATTCTGCTTTGGACTGA